GAGTCCTTCTTTTATGATGATGCAAGATCCATTTTCTCATACTTGTGGTGGAATTAGTTGAGTATTATCCTTAAAGATGATGAAATATTTTTCCTCTAAAATCAACCACAACAAACCCTTTGTTATTTTTATCATGAACTACGAGATTTTGATTCTTCATTAGTACGTAGGTTTAAGACTATGTCTTTTTATACAAAAATATAATAAAATATACTCCCTCCGGTCCTTTTTATAAGAAACACTTCACCTTCTAGATTCATTAAATAATGGGTTAAATGTACTTTACTCCCTTGCAATAGTAGCGGATTTTAATTTATCCCTCTTTTAAAATAAAAAATTTCGCCCCTTAACAAATATAGATTCCAAAATAGAAAACCTTACAACCCAAGATTTCTGTGGCCTGTGACACTCTTGCTGACTGTGTAATTTAATGTCACCTTGACTTTTTTTAATATTGTATAAAATCTTTGCATTGTTAAAAAATATGCATTAACTAGGTTTCAAACCCCTGTCCCTCTACTTGCAAGCTATACACCTAACCACTAGACTATGTATTTCAATTTATATATTACTCACTTTAACATATCCAAATAATAACATTCAATTTTGCCCATAATTGTGTATATAATCCTGGTTTAAACCCTGACCTAAAACCATATAGAAAAAATATGAATACCATAACAAATATTAAGGGATCTAATAATATATTCAAAACTAGCATTAGAAAGCAAAATCTCAATTGAAAAAAAAACATTAAAAGGTGAAATTTTTAGGAGAGGTTTGATCAAGGTATGAAAAGAACAAGACCCAGTTGATTAAAAACAAAAAAAAAAAGAATAAAACCCGGATTGCAATGTGAAAAAAGATGAAATCTTGAAGAGATTGAAACAGTGAATGTTAAATTAATACCTTAAGAGATTGAAACTTAAAAAAGAAGAAGATGGTTTTGTTTTTGGTAGAAGAGATTTGGTTTTTGTTTGTGTTGATGTTACGAAAATAAAAATGGAATAGGGAAAAGAGGGTTTGAAGAAAATGTGAGGAAGAAAATTATATTTGTAGGCGGAAGAAATAAGAAAAGCAATAGGGGCAAATTTGATTTTACAAACCTTAAAGGGCGCAGGCAGGACCTGTTGGTTTCTGTTTTCTTGTGGGGGTATTATTGAATATTGTTATTTGGATATGTTTAAGTGAGTAATATACAAATTGAAACACATAGTCTAATGGTTGGGTGTACGGCTTGCAAGTAGAGGGACAAGGGTTTAAAACCCAGCTAATGCATATTTTTTAACAATGGAAAGATTTTATACAATATTAAAAAATATTTAAAAAGGCCAAGGTGAAATTTAATTACACAGTCAGCAAGAGTGTCACAAGCCACGTCTGAAACTCAAACTGTAAGGTTTTCTGTTTTGGAATCTATATTTGTTAAGGGGCGAAAATAATTTTTTTTAAAAGGAGATAAATCAAAACTCGCTACTATTGTAGGGGGTAAAGTGTATTTAATCCTTAAATGATTAATGTACCTGGTCTGTAAACAGTTCAGGTACATTAATTATTCAATGAATCTAAAAAAAATGGAATGTCTCTTATAAAAAGGAGAGGAGGGAGTATTTCTTTTCCCATCTCCACACTCATTTAGCAAGCAAACCATTTTTAACCAAAACAAATATTATAAGAGGTTCCTATAGGGTACTATAGATACATTGGGTGCTAATACCTTCCATTTTATATAACCAACTCTCGTACCTTAGATCTCTTCTTATTGCTTTGCTTTTAATTTTTCTTCTTGCATTGCATGTTTAATATAGGGTTTTGATCTTTTCCCATTTTCTTGGAAACAATAAAGTTCGGTGGTAACTTCTTAAAGTTTGTGAGTCAAGTTAGTCAATAGCTTGGTCTCCCAATTTTTTTACCGCGACAATCTTCACCTTTTTATTCTTTTTTTATCAATTGGATAATGATGGATTCATCTTGTTCAATTAGGTTTAGATTCATGCTTAATGAACTTTCATCATTTCAAATCTATCATTAAATGATCATTTGATCACTTTTGATACTTTGGATTGATGATAAGTTCGTCTCAAGGTATCATGAAGAATTTGATTGAAGTAATGATCTAATCTCATTGCCTTTGTGCTTGATCATTTTGCTTTTGGTTTTAAGCTATAGTGTTGGATTATTTTCGAAGAATGACTTTGTATAATTTCTCTAACATGCACTACACCTACATTGTTATTGCCCTACCTCAGATTGGTGCAACTTCTACATAAGTTCACTTATGATTGCTTAACATGGCGCTAAGTTTGTCCTGAATTGGAATATTAACTACTAGCATCAATATTAATTATATTAATTGTGCTAACTTTATATTTCTGCACTTTTATATTAATTTCATTTAATTTCTTGCCATTTACATTAATGTAATTTTATTTCCAACACTTTAGATTTCATTTCATTTACATATTATGCCGTTTAATTTTATGTAATTTATTTTATGCCTTTTTCTTTTTACCCCTTGGGCATTTCTTTTTATTTTCATCAAAAGACATTAATAAATTCAAAACCCTAAAAGACTTAATATGAACTTGGACTTGATTTTACCATCTTTGGCTTGGTATTGGACTTATGGACTTAGATTTAGGTTCTTGATCCTATGCTTTGGAGATTTGACTTCAGACTTTGGATTTCATCTGAACATTTGATCAACATTTGAAAATTTAACTTGGTTTTGTTCTTTCATCTGGATGCTTGAGTTTTCATCTGATACTTTGGGATTTTCATCTGATTTTTATGCCTTTCATCTGATTATGCTTATCATGTAACTTACTCCATAGGAAATGGAATGCTCTCTTTGACCAATGTCAAAAGACTTGCTCTATCATAGTTACTTCACTTGCACACACCAATGCTTCCTCTTGGGCTACCTTACAATGAGACTATTTATTTCTTGCAATTTACTTTATGCTTTAGGATAGTCTCTTTATCTCCTTCCTTTCTTTAATTTTAAAAATTTTCTCCCTATTTTAAAATCTTGTTGTTTTCAAATTTGAAATCTCTTTCTCAATAAACCTTGATTCTGTTAAGTGATTTTTAAATTTTTTTCCTAATAAATGCTAAGACATCTTAAGCATATAAAAAAATCATTTCAAAAGACTAAAAAAAATTCCAAACTCATTCAAATATTTTGTGTCCTTTGTGCATTTTTCCTTTTAAAATATTTTTTCTCAAAGATTGGACATTAGTTGATTCTTGTAGTGATGCAAACCAATATACTTCTATAATATGTGGTGAAGTGATTGACATTTTCCACTTGAATGTTAAGAATTGTCTTATTGATTAAATGCAAACAAAAATTCTCCTTATCAAGATGATGCAAATGCTCATTCCTCATAATTGTGGGTAATAAGTGAGTTTTCCACTCGAATTCGACAATGTTTCTTTTTATTAAAATCAACCAAAATGAATAAATTTTTGTTATTTTTACCACGAACTACGAGATTTTGATTCTTCATTACACTTGGTTGATACGTAGGCACGAGACTCTTGAAGTCTTGTCAAACAAAAACCATAAAAGCAATTTATTTTCTCATCTCATCAATCTCTTTTGCAAACAACTCCTTTATTTATACCACAAATTTTCAAGAGGTGTCTATGGAGTACCATAGATGTAAAGGGTATTAATACATTCCCCTTGCATAATCAACTCATGTATCCAGATCTCTTTTTTATTAGTTTTGAATTGAGAATGATCCGTTCATGGAGTTTAATTGTGGATTTTCGTAGGAATTTGATGTTAGTTCTCATAAACAATATTATTGTTTCGTCTCAGAACTAAAATTGGTGTTGATTGATGATGTAGGACTCTGGAATCAATTATGTTGATCTCTGATATGATGATGCAGAGTTGATTTATAAGATTAGAACTCCAACGTTCAAGTCAATTACAGAACCCAAAATAAATATAATAAAAAATAGAGATTAAAAAAAAATATCTTGAATCTTATATATACTCACTATATACGTTAAATCATCTCTATTAGACTTATCTAAAATTGAAACTTGAGTCCTTTGGCCGGCCAAAACAAATATAATACTTTATATAACTCTTCTGATATAAGTTCATTACTCCTCCTTTAAAATAGTTTGTTCAAATAATTTATAATTAATTATATAATATCATTTGACTTAATTCAATTAAATACATAACAAATGTTACACTTTAACTAAAAGAAAAAGCACGTTTCTTTTACCAGTGCTTAAATTATAATTGTTTATTGAAATATGAACTCTAAATATTTTAAAAGAAGGATCATGCTATCATGTGTCTTAAAAACATATATTAAAAATATTATAATTAAAAAAGTTTAAATATAATAAAATATAATTAAATATAATAAAGTTATATTTAAAATTTTAAAATATTGAATGTACACGATTTAAAAGATACTTTTACAAATAACTTATATTAACCTGTGTTATCGGAGTACATGTTAGTTTAATTTTTTCTTTAAAAGAAGGGTCTTGTTATCCAAATTGATTAATGAGTAGTATTTAATTGATTGAACTAAGTCAAACTATTAGCTGTCTAAGCGTATATACTCTAATAAGCATAGGTCAAACAATGGTATATTGGTGCTTCTCTAACTGATTTCTATTTTCCTCCATAGACTATATAATAAAAGACTGCCTACTTACTTCATTTTACATTCGACTTGGCTTCATACAAAGTCATAATATTGAATACTCCATTTCATTTCCACACCACCTATACTATTTTTATTATACAGATTAATAAAGTGATAGGCCCAATTAATACTTGAAAACCTTATTTGTACACATTAATTGATGTTTCCTTCTTATTCTCAACTGATTAAATACGTATAAGAATGTATTTCTTGCCAAACAAGCCTAACTTGGTTTACATAATCAATTCAGCCACACTTGATTAGGACCACCCCACTAACTAGTATTATGTCATGCATGCAATCTATGCATGATCCATGAACCTTCATTCTTCTATAAATATCTACCATCTTTTTTTATTCTTCTCATTCAAAACATATTCACCACCACAAAGTACTATACTCAACCAATTTTCTTGTATACCTTTCCTAGCTTTAATTACCAAAATGAAGTCCATGAACCTTTTCCTTTTGACATTGCTAATTATGGTTTTGGCCATTACACTAACATCAGCAATATCTTCTGAAAATGAAGAACCAAACTCTAATCATCAAGAAACAAGTCATTTCTTCCTTTCCCGAAAACAAAATAGAGTCTCTCTTACATGTGACAAATACCCCAAAATTTGTCATATCAAAGGTAGTGCAGGCTCTGATTGCTGCAACAACCGATGTGTCAATTTTACCATAGACATGTTTAATTGTGGGAGGTGTGGCAAGAAATGTAGCTTTCCAAAGATATGTTGTGATGGTAAATGCGTGAATCCTAGGAGTAATGAAAAGCATTGTGGGAAGTGTGGTAATAAATGTGACAATAGAGGTTCTTGTGTTTATGGAATGTGCAGCTACGCCTAGAACTTCAAATGGATTAAGAGTATCTAAAGTTTGATCAATAATGCAGCCACTACTAAAATTTATTTGATATTTTTACATTGATTAATTGTTGACTTGGGTGTAGTAATAAATAATATTGTTATTTGTTATTGTTTTGGTATTGTTATTAATTGAAGCAAAAAACGTAATTGGTTGTTTATGAAATAAATAAAAGAGCTGCTGTTCTAATTCTTAAATTATATTCTATAGTACTTTGTTATTGCTTTCTGTGGTAATTGCTCTTGTTTCTATATTTATTATACTTATTATAGTGCTATTAGTAGAAATGTTTATAGATGTATCTGTCTAAATATCTCACAGAATAGTGTAAGAACCAAGCTTTCCGTCACACAAATTCTAACACGCTATCTTCTATTGATTAAAATTTATTTGAGTCCATCAATTTTTTGTTTTTGTTTTCACCATCATCCGGTCTATTGAACTGATTAAACCGGTTCAAAAGCTAATTCTGGTATACAGTGATTTAAATCCCCTCTAACTCACAGTTATACAGAATAGAATATTAGTTCATGACTTTTCCTATTTAATCAAATGTCAATTACTACTTAATCAACTAATAATAGTCTTTTTAATTCAAAGGGAAGTGTCAGATTAGTTTTTTTTTGAGATATTTGTTCTCTATAACATCTAATTTTCAATAACAAGATTGTATATTTCATATATAAAAAATTATAATTTTGAGATAAAACTTTCACAATACTATGCCAAAATTGACTTTAGACAGCGCCACATAGACAGCGCTTATGTCTAAAGTGCTGCTATAGATTTTCAGAAAAATTAATAATTAAAAATTAAAGGAGAAGCGCTGCTAAAGGTATACTATAGACAGCGCTTATTACGCTGCTATAGACCTTACCATAGACAGCGCTTTCTTTCCCTAAGCGCTGCTATAGGTTTTCAGTAAAAAAAACTAAAAAAATAGAATAAGCGCTGCTAAAGGTTATACTTTAGACATCGCTTACTAAAAGCGCTGCTAAAGGTGTTATTCTAGGAAGCGTTGCTAAAGCCTAAAGCACTGCTAAAGGGTATACCTTAGACAGCGCTTTCCAGAAGCGCTGCTAAAGGGTATACCTTAGACAGCGCTTTCCAGAAGCGCTGCTAAAGGCATTACTCTAAAAGCGCTGCTAAAGGTAATACCTTTAGCAACGCTTCTTGAAAGCACTGTCTAAGGTAATTAAATAGTGTCTTAATCCCTAAATTGGTTATCAGATTTCCAGAAATCCCAAATCGTACAAACGAAACCCCACACCCAGAAATCGCTCCTGTTCATCTTCTTCTCCAACTCGTCTCCTCCCATTCACCGTCCAACAGTGGTTCTTCCTCCAACTCTTCTCCAACTCGTCTCCTCACCGTCCAACCGTACTTTGGTGGTTCTTCCTCCGTGCAGAAGCAACTCTCTCTGGTGTTCCGATAACAACAACAGGTCAGTTCCGATAACACCATTTATGCACTTTTACATTATTAAGTTGTTCTTTTCTATTGAATAAAAATGTGGGTGGTCATGATACTAGCTAGAGCTGAGTAGGAAGGAAACAATACTTTCTATTCATATTCATTCAACACAATTACTTTCTTTCTTCAATCTCACTTCCACATAATCAAGAATTCTCTACAAGGCAAATGCTTCTGCAAACTTCATCATCTTCAGCTCTTTATATATATATATATATATATATATATATATATATATATATATATATATATATATATATATATATATATATATATATATATATATAGCTTTATCATTAGTTTTAAACTATAGGAATATTGATTGTAGTTTTGGACTCATTAGAATACTTATGCAAATTTTTATTTTATATGGTGTAGTAGTTTTCAACTCATTAAAATATGCTAAATTTTAATTCATCTTTTTATTATACCGGAAGAAACATACTGATTTTCCTACTAACTATTTTGACGTTTCAGAACCGTAAATCTTCAAGACACTACAATATTTGAAATTCCAACTAGCTTATCCCTCCTAAATCTCTCCTAATTGAGATGCTATTATTTCTTAATCAAAATTTAAAACCTCCAGAATTTATATATGAACTTTAATTGGTGTACTTGGTGATTCTTTGTAATATATCTGTACTTTATACTAGAACCTTTGAAGAATTATGAGGTCAAAAACTTTCATATCAACTCGTATAAGTACATATTGGTATCATACCTATAAACTCATATCAATAACCATCAAAATAGTTTAATATGATTTTATTAAATTATTACCGTACAAACGTACATGTAATACACTAATACCGTGATCAATTTTTATATTTTCTCCAAATTGATTTTTTAGAACTCAAATTTATTTTAAATCCGTGTATACTTTGTGTTTTGACAGAAACGCATTATACCGTTTTGTGCCCTAATTAGTGTTTTTGTTTAACTTAGATAATAGTTAAAACCATGGATAAAAAATGGATGTGTGCCGATCGATTGTCAAAAGAGTACGAGAATGGGGTATTAGAGTTCGTTAAGTTTGCTGTTGAACACGCTGAAGACCCGAATAGAATGAAATGTCCTTGCTTGGGTTGTTGTTATGTGGGTCGGGTTGATGCAGATGGATTGAAATCGCATTTACTAATGCGCAGAATTGATTGAAGTTATACGTGTTGGATATTTCATGGTGAGAAAAGCATCGAGAATGTTGAACCGGGGGTGAAAAGTAATGCGACCTATGTTTCGTACGACAATGCCACAGATGCATATGATTGTGATCGAGTCGAAGAGATTGCAAAAGTACTTGAAGAAGATCTTCAAGATTGTCCCAAAATGTTTGAGAGGTTGGTAAGCGATACGGAGAAACCGTTGTATAAAGATTTCCCTAAATTCACAAGATTGCCTGCGGTATTAAAATTGTACAACTTAAAGGCGCACAATGGATGGTCGGATAAAAGTTTCACACAGTTATTAGCCCTTTTGAGAGATATGCTTCCTGAGGATAATGTTCTTCCTAATCGAACCTACGAGGCCAAAAAAATATTGTGCTCTATTGGCATGAGCTATGATAAGATACATGCATGTCTAAATGATTGTATTTTGTTTCGAAACGAATATGCATCGTTGAATGAGTGCCCAAAGTGCGGTTTATCTTGATATAAGAAAAAATTATCTCCAGCGAAAGTCTTATGGTATTTTCCTATTATTCCGAGATTTAGACGCATGTTTCGTAGTGAAACCGATGCTAGAAACTTGACTTGGCATGCAGATGAAAGAATTATCGATGGAAAGTTTCGACATCCGGCAGATGCACCATAGTGGAAGAAAATTGATAATGATTATCCTGATTTTGGAGGAGAAACAAGAAACCTTCGCTTGGCATTATCTACGGATGGAATGAACCCGCATGGTATTCAAAGTATCTCACATTCCACATGGCCTGTGATTCTTATGATTTATAACCTACCTCCATGGCTATGTATGAAGCGCAAGTACATGATGTTATCTATGTTAATTTTGGGCCTAAACAACCAGGGAATGACATAGATGTATACTTGAAACCTTTAATCGAAGATTTGAAGATTTTGTGGGAGAACGGTGTGGAGGTTTATGATGGATATAGGAAAGAAAGTTTCAATTTGAGGGCGATGTTGTTTGGCACAATTAATGATTTTCCAGCATATGGAAATCTATCCGGGTATAACATTAAAGGTGAAAAAGCGTGTCTTGTCTGTGAAGATGGAATCGATACGACACGATTGAAACTTTGTCAGAAGAATGTCTTTCTTGGTCATCGTAGATTCTTAAATTCAAAACATCAATATCGTGGATGGAGAAAAGCGTTCAATGGAAATACCGAACAACGTAGAGCTCCACCTGGATTGACAGGTGATCAAATTTGTGAAAAGGTGAAAGATGTAAGTATTCAGTTTGGCAAGCCTTTTACACATAAAGTTGTCACAGGTGGGTGGAAGAAGAGGTCAATTTTTTTTGAATTGCCATATTGGAAATCTTTGTACGTAAGACATTTTCTTGATGTTATGCATATTGAAAAAATGTATTTGAAAGTGTTATTGGTACGTTACTCAATATAAAAGGAAAGTCTAAGGATGACCTTAAAGCAAGAGAGGACATGGTAGAGATGGGAATAAGAACTGAATAAGGACCCGTGAAGAAAGGAAGACGAACATATCTACCACCTGCTGCTTATACTCTATCTAGAAAGGAAAAGAAAATATTGTGTAAGTTTCTGAGTGAAGTTAAAGTTCTAGAAGGTTACTCCTCAGACATTAGAAGACTCGTGTCCATGAAAGACCTCAAGTTAAAGAGTCTGAAGACACGTGATTGCCATGTCATAATGGAACATTTTCTACCAATAGGTATACGTTCTATTTTGCCAGAAAAAGTAAGAAGCGCTATAACTAAATTGTGTTTTTTTTTCCAGGTCAATTTGTAGTAAGGTGATCGATCCTGAGATCTTACCAGTATTACAAAAAGAAATCGTTATTACTCTGTGTGACCTTGAAATGTATTTTCCTCCATCATTTTTTGACATTATAGTACATCTTGTTGTTTATCTTGTGAAAGAGACACAATTGTGTGGACCAGCTTATATGAGATGGATGTACCCTGTTGAACGTTATATGAAAATATTAAAAGGGTACGTGAAAAACCGAAGTCGTCCAGAGGGTTGTATCGTTGAGCGATACGTTGTTGAAGAAGCGGTTGAGTTTTGTACTGATTTTTTGTCCAATGTGCAATCCATTGGACTCCCCAAATCTCATTTTTTCGAAAAAAAAGAAGGTAAAAAATTAATTGGAAATGAAATTGTGACAGTATCAAGGGATGAACGGGATCAAGTGCATTTGTATGTTCTGCACAATGACACTGAGGTTGAGCCGTTTGTTGAAATGCACAAGGCTATACTCCGAGGTGAGAATCAAAGTAGAAATGAAAATTGGATAGTATGAGAGCACAATCAAAGTTTTATACAGTGGTTTAAGGATCATATA